AAAAAGCACCTTGGCTCGGTCGCCCGTGCACATGAGCGGGCTGACCCTGTCTCTTGGTTGCCGTTTTCTCAGCGCCCTGTGTCACAGCATCGCTTGAGGGGCGGCCGGTTCTGGTCCGACCTCCTTGCGCAAAGAGGGGCAAGCAGAGCAGGCCGCTGCTGGGTTCTTTGCCGTTTTCCTAGGCCTGCAGGTAACTCTTCCAGGTTTAAGGGTAGTCCAAACCTGTCCTGAACAAAAGAGAGAGGGCCTGGCCTGATGCTCTGAAAGACTCATCTCCAAACACCTGTTTGCAGGGAGTGTTCAGAGGTCTCACCACAGGTGCACGAATTTGGGACTGTAACGGCTAAGTACTTGAGAACTACCAAAGAGCAGATTGAATACTGTGTAAAAACAACGTTTTTAGGATTAAATCTCTGAGAGCATCAGCAAGTGTTTACCCAAACAGAGTAAAAACATGGCTTAATAAAAGAAGCACGATGTAACAGGGACACAAAGGAGCAGTAAACACGTTGCTTCTTGACCACAGAAAAAGAATCAGTTGGATTATTTTGGTGTAGAGATTAGATACGAGAGGTTTTTTCTACTGCACAGTACTTACCCTTTCTTTAAAAAGTATTCAGTAAAAGCTTTCTTTGTTGATCATAGGTTGCGGAACAAGATATACGTAGTGTCCAGTGATGAGTATTTTTGGGAAAAAAGGCACTCATCCCTCATCCTTTTAGCAGAAGTTACTTTACTGGTATTTTTAACAGTAGCCAAAGAACTGCTCTGCCCAGCAGAGGCCAACAGAGAGAACTCAGCCATTTGGTACATGGTAGGACCTACATACACTTCTTAGAAACAGATACCATGTTTGCTCCCAAATGGCAGTCCTCCTCATGCTTGGTTAGGGAGCTGGTTTTATGACAGGTGGATCTTCTGCACATACTACACCATGGATTTCCAAGGGAGTCTGGTGTGTAGTGTTCCTGGTTTATATTTGACTAGGAGCACTTCCAAGAATCTGTGTTCATGCACTTGTTTGGATAAGAGCCCATTGCATCACCTCAGTTAGCTTTTGCACTTCTTTCCCTCCTCCTCTGTTTTTATAATCTTCTTTCATAATTTGTCACGCTAGCAGGTAAATGGAGAGAAGGTGAATTTATCTTCTGAAACACATTTTAAGTTGCTGCCATTTATCTAAAGCACCTACTTCATCCCTTCCAGTAAAATAATGATGTTGTTCATTAGTTCCTCTAGCTGCTCATGGCTAAATGCGCCATAGTCAGATTGCTCTATTTTTCCCTCCTATCAGCCACTTATGAAAGTCAAACATTTGTAATAATGCTATTGGTTTTTTTGGAAGACTCTCAGTTCTGCAGATATTTTTACATAAAATATCGCTAGATGAATGAGTTGGGTTTTTTTCATGTCCAAGCAATACTGCTGGGCACTTCAGTTAATGTGTACATTATTCCCCTCATTTTTTCATTACTCTCAAATGCTTATAATAGTTCTTCCATCTTCCTTCCTCTTCCGTGACAGATGCCACTGCTTTTAGGTAATGTCCGAGTTTTGTCTTACTTAGTTTACTGGATATACCTGTGTTTATAACAATTTGAGCATACAGCACACTTTAGCAGGATATTGGAGTCAGCCATTAGCTCTTCTTGTGCGAATGGTGCTTTTCAGTTTATGTCGCTGTAACTGGGATGCTACCATTAGGTCTTGAGGACACAGGGCAAGATTGCTTACAGTTCCGGGTTTGTAAGCACCTTCATAAGTCCTAGGCAAACCTTACAGTTGAGAACCAGGCCAGCTGTTGACATAAAACTTGAGGTTTGTGTTTTAAATTCAGCAGTGTCACAGGTTCTTTCTGATTTTAGAACACTTGGAAAGTCAGATGTGTATGTGTTATCTAATAGTAAGGCTGGAAGGATATTCAATGAGTAACAATGTATATGCAACTCTGGAGCTTGAGATGAGAAACCTGTAGTTCTAGTTTAACAATTATGCTAATGAAGCCTTACATTCCGTCTGTCTCTCTAGGAAGATGGAAATATCCCTGCCATCCATGAATTCCATGTTAATCAGTTTACAGGCAGGAGTTAAGCAGCCTGGAAGGTGGAACCACAAAATTCGAGTACTGTATAGGTTATATATGTATGTGTGTGTGGCCCCCAAATCTAGAAAAGTTACTCAAAGCTATAGGATGAGATGGATTAACAGCCATACTCCTTCAGTATAAGATCTCATGTATGGAACAGGTAGAACTTGACTCAGGTTGAGGAGTGTGTGTATCTAAGAGGTAAGGGCTGTCACAACCCCCGGACTGTCCAAGCCGTAGGTAAGGCAAGTTACCAAAATCTTTGTTTATTTAGTATAAATATGTAGTTATGGTCTAGAAGGCGAGAAAACAGGAAACAAAATCCTAACTAGTCCCCTCAAAATAAAAATATGGTCCAAAACCCAGCAAACAACCAGAGGCCCTTTCCTAAATAGCATTGCAGTGAATATACTCCTTCCCTAGAGGGAAAGTATGAGAAAACAAACAACACAAGAGAAAGTCAAGCTGATTTAAATTTGCAAGTGGGAGATGTGCAGACATTGTGGTTGTGAGTATAAGAACTTAGGCAGAACAGGCTGGTATGTATTTTTCACGTTGTGTAATGGTTTGTGTACTGAGAGACTCCCAAACAGTTTGAGTGGCAATTCATTTGCAGACCCTCAGGTCACACATACCCAAAGTAACCTGTCTCCTGCTCAGTTACCACGTCTGTGGATGCTTAAAAATGTTGTCTTTGTAGCCTTTGAAACTGTTGTCTGGTGGTTGGTCTTTATAGTATTACTGACAACAGATGGCAAATGGCTCTGCTGATGTAATTCTTGCTAGTGTTTCATTCCTGTGAAGTTCCACAGTTTCAAAATCTCAGAAAGTGCCTCCATATTTTTTTTCTGTGTAATGATTTCAAGCCAAACTAAATAAAAACATTTTATATTAGTCAAATTCCCATGGTGTCATGTGACATTTTTGTAAGATTGCCTTGCAGCAGTTTCAGATAAGTGCAAGTTTGGTAGCAATTTAAGGCCTGTGTCCTTTAAGTAATGCTTATTAGTACGTAACAGATGCTGTTTAGAAACATTATGCCTTTTAATGGGCTCTGCTTTTAGACTACATGTTCTCATTCTGGGCAGACTGTGGATCAGGCAAGCTTGGAGGTATGCTGTCATTTATGCAAAGCCTAAGTCAATTTTCTGCTCTGAAGTCAAGCCATGTGTTTTTCCTTGTTTCTTCCATTCTGGTCATAGCTGCCTTGCTGTATTTTTCCCCCTAGTCATATCTTTGGCTGATTGTCAAGCCATTACAATCAAAACCTTTTGCATTTTTAACCACCAGCAATGGTTTCTTTTGTCCTTACAGAAGAGCCTGTGTAAACTGAATTTAAACGCTCTCAACCTTACTGTCAAGAGCACAGCAAGCCCAGAGTTAGCCCTCTGTTACCAGCCTGTCCTTCCTTTTCTGCTTCTTCCTCCTCCCAAAATGAAAAAAAGGGAAAAGCAGAGCCATGCTGGTTTTGGAGCACCTTCAAAGACATGTAGAATAGCTGACACAATGGCACAGAGAAAAGAGAGAGATGTTTACATATTTCCTCCACTACTTGCAGCTGTTTATTAAAGCAAGTTCTGAGACAGGCGAAGAGGCTTGTGATAGCTAGTGCAGGTGATGTATTAATTTGCAGCTGCATAATAAATTTAGCAAAGTGGAAATTACTGAGGGGAAGGGATTTTTCTTTTTTTTTTTTTTTGTTTCTTTCCTTTTTTTCCTCACTTTAATTGCTTTATTTTGAGATTATTCTGGCTGTGCAAATTGCTCCTTGCAAGTAATTGCTGCTGGGCTTTCTTAGGCAGACTTATGCACTCTACTGGTGGGAGCAGTAGATGTGTCAGATACGTAAAATGAGTGCAACTCAAATGATGTGGTATCTGAAACTGGTTTCCCTGAAAATCTGGGCAGTTGTCTCAAATTTTTATTGCTGCTTTGTTTTGGGAACATTGTTCTTTCTGATATCAAACCAGAGCTCTCAGGTGCTCCTGGGATGCCACACATGCTGCCATCATTTGTATGACATGAAGATAAGGGCTGTGTGTAGTGTGGCCTTGGGTTTCCCACACTTG